CACACACACACACATGATGCGCAAAACTCCGCATTTGAACAGTCGATAGCAAATACTTAAACTAATAACAAAACAGTAGCTAAGCCTAATTTAAATTAGGTATGTTTTTTAACAAAACAGTAGCTGATTCAGAAGCGCCGGATTGTCATAGCAAAGTCAGAATTACTTCCTCTCCTAGGTTCACGAAACGGTCATCTATAAAATGCATTGCTGTTCTGTTGTAAGTGATCTTAAAGATTCCTAAATGCATCTACTTTCGGAAGGCCAAATAAAGTGCTTTTGCTTTTGCCTAGAAAAACACACCGTCTCCCTGACATGACTGCTTCAACACTAACTGCGGTTACTGAAACCACGCCTTCTTTCTTTGTGTGCACATTTGGGCGGCATTATGCAAATATTTCCACATAGTGAGGTAGATATGTGGGGGCGTGTTAGAACGAGCCGTTTTAGGGGGGCGTGGCAGAGTCTTAACTTTGATAAAGAATATCTCTTTGGTTTTGAGACTTTAGTCTTTGCAACTTCAGGGATCTTATCTATGCACAATCAGCTTGTAACACTCCAAAGAGAAAGGAAAACTTGAAATCACATCATTTGACCCCTTTAAAGCTGTGTTCCATGTGCCCCTTTTATACTTTGAGCACCTGCCCCTCCAAAGGTCTCTGCACGGCCCTGATTAAGAGTAATATTGAATTAAATGTAAGCATTAATTTTGTTCCAAGAATCTAACGTTAAAGATCAAAATAACCACTACAGATCCGATAATGAGAGATTAGTTGCTGCTGAGGCAAATAGACGGTCTCGCTCTTTCTCTACTGTCTTTTTGCTATGTCTGTAGAAATGGTTGTAATTCTTAATTTGGGTAAACAGTTTAATAAATTGTAATGACTTTCACAATCAATTTTATTCAACTTGGCTCATGTTTTAATGTATCTTATTGTCATTGTAGGCTTAGGCTACTTATTTAAAATAAAAATTTTATAAATACACAAATTAACAAAATTAATTTTTATTTATTTTTTGTAAATAAATGTTTTGCCCACCATGTCTCCGCTGCGCAGAGCGCATGCCCGAGCCCACCGCTGATGGAGAGCCGGAGCCCGCCGCGACCGACGAGTCATCGCCGTACGGAGCGACAGAGCTGAGGATCGCCATGGAGCCGTTGCAGCTGATGATGACGTCAGTCAAGGTGTGTGAGCCAGCAACAACGCCCGCCACAAGGGAGAAAGCCGCGGACAGTGTGAGTGCGGAGAGGAGCTCTGCCCCCTGCACCGCTGCTGGGGTGAGCTGTGTATGGTGCAGCCACTGTGCCACACCGATGAGGAGAGGGCTCCCATTCCTAAGTTCTGGCCTGAAAACCCGGAGGCTCACAAATACCCGCCCTCCCCCCCGGTCCTGCCTCCTCCTCCGCTGTCGTCTGGCAGCCCCTCTGCTTGCCCTCAGCCCACCATCTATGCGGTGTGAACTCTGCGGGACTGCCATCCTCCATCGTCGCCATGGCTGGAGAATCTCTCACCTCCGCATCTGAGGCCCGGACTCCACCTTGGCCCGTTGACCCGTTGGCTCCACCATAGCTCCGTGCTATCTCCTCTCCGTTGTGGCCCGGCAGTCCACTAGCTCCGCCGGGCTCCCTCATTACTCCGGCTCCGCCTTGGTCTGGTGTTGACCATCCTGCACATCGGGACTCCACTCCTCCGGCTCCGTCAGGCTCCTTCATCCCCTTGGCTCCTCCTCAGTCCTCTGTCGCTCCGGCTCCACCGTGGCCTCCCGGATCCAGATCCTTCACATCTGCTCTGCCTAGGACCTCCGGATCCTCCCCGTCGGCCTGGCTCATCGGCTCTCCGTCTCCACCTCGGGCTCCTCCAGCACCTGCTCCGCCGCCGTTGGTCGGCCCCCTGGAGTCGGCAGCCATTCCTCCCCCATGGCTCCTCCCTCCGTCGGCTCCTCCGTGGGCCGCCATTATGGCTGTGGCCTGGGTCCTGCTGTGCTCCACCTGCTCCGGGCCCCTCCTGTCTCCTCCCTCCTTCATCACCTCCCTGGTCTCTGTCTGCCGGCCCCCTCCCGGATGTCTCTCTTCCTTCTAAGCCCCCCCCCAAGTTCCCCCCCGGGCCCCCCCCCCCCATTGTTCTACGGCCTTCAGGGAGGGGGGCACTATGTCAGGATCATGGACCTGTTTAGTTATGTTTTGCCCCTATTTCTGTTCGTGTGTTCCCTTTTTTGGTCATGTTCATGTCCTTGTTTAGTTAATTAGTCTAATTATCTTACTAATTATTAAGTAATTATCCCTTGTATTTAAGTTCCTGTTTGTTCTGTCTTCCTTTATCAGGTCTACTTGTTGTAAACGTCTTCCTTGTGCTCTTTGACTCCCTGTTGGATTACTAAAGACTCTCGTTTTGTAAAATTTCCACGTCTCCTCGTTTCCTCGTTCCCTTGCTCCAGCATATCGTGACAGTTTGTTAAATGCAAAATTAGTGACTCATAAAATGCAACTCCAGCTACCATCACTTTGAGAGTCAAAAAAGCATATACAGGCAGATCAAATTTAATGCCTGTGGCTCCTGACGATATATTGAGGTCTTATGAAGCGAACCTGTAATCCAGAACCTCAGGCAAACAGTCCTGAGCACATTCACGAGAGTCTGGAGCACCAGCTTCCTGTTGCATAATGACATGTGCAAGAGCAAACTCACGTTTTGGGTGAACTACCACTTTAACCTCACAACACAACAAATAACTAACAGTAATAACAGAATAATAACAGCAGCAAAAAAAATGGCTGCCCACTGCTCTGGGAGTGTGTTCACGGTGTGTGTGTGTTCACTGCTGTGTGTGCACATTGGATGGGATAAATGCAGAGCACTAATTCCGAGTATGGGTCACCATACTTGACCGCGTCACATCACTTTCACTTTCAAAAATGGGATTATATTGGATATCAGGATTGTGTACACGATTGTGCACTGTAAACGAGTGCACATATTAATATCTTATTCTCTTTTCAGGTGGTTGTTCACGGAGGTGATGTGTATGTGTTATGCCTTCTGTGGAGTTTTGTTTGGTATCTGCAGCCTCAGTAACCTGACCGTACTGTCCTGTGTGTGCTGGCTTAAAGTCTGCTACCCCAACTATGGTAAGACCTGTCTTAGTTTGTACACAATCAAGCAGAAAATTGGGTAACACTTTATTTAAAGGATCAAATCTCACTATTAACTAGTTGCTTATTAGCATGCATATTGGCTGTTTCTTAGTACTTATAAAGCACGTATAAATGTCTTATTCTGCATGATCATATTTTAGATCCCTTAATCCGACCCCACACCTAAATCTGACAACTACTTTACTAACTATTAATAAGCATCAAATTAGGCGTCCCAAAAAAAACAAAAAAAACTAATCTAAAGTGTTATAGAAAATTATGTTAAAATTTGTATCAAATGCATCTCCTGTCACCACTTATGATCAGATTTCATGGAGGGGATCATGATAATGTATTTATTTACATACCTGTGGAATAAGTTGGGATGATGTACAATCATCCAGTCAAGAAATCAGGTGTAAGTCTAAATTACTGACACTCAAAACTTGGTACAGTTACCATCTGATGATACTTGACAAGTGTCATACATTTTCATGAATGCACATGAGTGCACAACTTGCCACAAAAGCAACTGTATACACAGCATCTATTCTTTCATATTTGCTGTTTTTGTCATGTTCTCCACACATGTGTGCCAGTTGTGACTATATTATTCATTTACGTCTACTATATGCTCTCTTAAAAACACACACACACACACAATTAGACAATTAACTGCAAATGACCACATGAATAAAGCAGACGTCAAGCCTTTACATGCTGTTGTTTTGATGAAATCCAAAGTAGAAAAATCTGTTGTTTTGGTGAAGGACACACGGATACAATGCTCACTGTGTGCTTATATAACAAACAAAATGAAATGGATTTTAGCTAGGAAATATTTATTAGCAGGCCTAGAAATATTATAACTAGCATTATCTGTCAGGGTCTGAAACTGTTATTAATTAATCTCCAAATTATAAACTGTGGAGCCAGTCTTTTACTTAATACCTCAGTGTTTTGCTGTCTTTATTATTTTGTTTTTACTTTAATAGTTGATTAGTTATTATAATTATTAGTTTTATCATCATCTTGTTGGGCTCTGTTGTACATTTTTACATACCTGTGGAATAAGTTGGGATGATGTACAATCATCCAGTCAAGAAATCAGGTGTAAGTCTAAATTACTGACACTCAAAACTTGGTACAGTTACCATCTGATGATACTTGACAAGTGTCATACATTTTCATGAATGCACATGAGTGCACAACTTGCCACAAAAGCAACTGTATACACAGCATCTATTCTTTCATATTTGCTGTTTTTGTCATGTTCTCCACACATGTGTGCCAGTTGTGACTATATTATTCATTTACGTCTACTATATGCTCTCTTAAAAACACACACACACACAATTAGACAATTAACTGCAAATGACCACATGAATAAAGCAGACGTCAAGCCTTTACATGCTGTTGTTTTGATGAAATCCAAAGTAGAAAAATCTGTTGTTTTGGTGAAGGACACACGGATACAATGCTCACTGTGTGCTTATATAACAAACAAAATGAAATGGATTTTAGCTAGGAAATATTTATTAGCAGGCCTAGAAATATTATAACTAGCATTATCTGTCAGGGTCTGAAACTGTTATTAATTAATCTCCAAATTATAAACTGTGGAGCCAGTCTTTTACTTAATACCTCAGTGTTTTGCTGTCTTTATTTTTTTGTTTTTACTTTAATAGTTGATTAGTTATTATAATTATTAGTTTTATCATCATCTTGTTGGGCTCTGTTGTACATTTGACTTTTTTTCTTAGTTATTCAGGTTTGTGTTTAATAAGTGGTGTTGCTGATGAATGAGGCTGGAGGTTTATTTAAGGCTATGAGACCTTTGTGGGTTTCATGGACTATCTAGGAGTGCGTTCATTCGTTCTTGATGAGTGTCTTTGGTCAGAATCAGCCTAATGTACCTGTAGCTCGACTGTTGCTAGCATTGGTTTCGCATGGTGCTAGGTTTGATTAGCAGGATGTGCGCATAGTGTACTTATGTAAGCCAGGGCCACCACTCATGCCTTTAAAAAATAGAGCAACAAATGTAGTTTAAGGATTAATTCAGTTCAATTAATTCAGTGCTTGAGGGGAAATTTAGAGTATATGCAGCGTATGCATTGTATTCATCTGAGTTACGTACACTAGAAAGTAGATAAACAGCTGTAAAATGTAGAATATAATGTAGACATTTGGAATAAAATACAATTATTACATACTGTTTTCATAATGTTTTTGGAGGCTCTGCCTTCTTTGCCTGCACTGATGGACTGCCAATGTCACACTGCAGGAGTTTGATCGGTTCGAGTGGATAGGATTTGCTGCAGATGAAAGTTTCAGTAGGACGCAGATGGAAAGTAATTCGTTTAGGTTTTTGTGTGAGAGTCAGGTTAGTAATTGTGTTGAAAATGTCAAAGCCAGTCTAGTTCCTTACAAGGATGAAAACAACGTGTCCAGTGCTTCAGACAAAGAAACAAGACAGCTCAAGAGAAGGACAGCTATAAAAGGAGATGGAAAAAGTCAAAGAATGACAGAAAGAAACTGCTTTATAACTTGAAAGACTTTATAGACAGAAGACCTATATAACCTTTACACCTATAACAACAAAAGGTCGTTACATAACATGACTATGTGATGGAGATGGGGGCTCACGGTCACAATAATTTCATTGAATATTTTTCAAGGTGGGTTTGAAAGTTTTTCATAATTTCCTTACAGACACAAACCTTAAAGCAAGTGACTCAAACTGGGGACCATATAGCAAACAGATACCAGTTAAATTTGCTATTCATATAACATGTGTGATCAAAAGTGTGTGTTCTTAGATTTTATACAAAAAATCTGATCCAATCAGAATTAGGAGTAAGTATCTGTATTGATGTGTCAGTAAGTGGCATCAACATTTGTGGTCTTACAGGCCAATTGGAATTAAAATTGAAAACCTGGTTACACCCAGGCAACCATTGCTTTGTGTTTGAAGTTTTTAATGGTTTGACTCTTAGATTAATCAAGGATATGAGGGGAGAAAAGAGGGAGGAATGTGCATTTGGGTGAGAAGTGGCTCAATTTCTGCAACGCAGCAGCTCAGACATTGGCATCAACACATGATCAATATCATTCACTGTAACCCAGTTCAGCAAATAATGGATTAATTGCTTTCTCTTGCAATTTCAAAGAGAGAGAGGGAGAAAAGCTACTGTGATAAAGAGCTGTCACGCACCTTTTATCTAACAGGCCTCATGAACAATATGTATGAAAGCTCAATTTGTTTATTTCTATTTTTCACATGCTATTGATGGAGATTGGTGTGAGATAACAAAACAATATGGAAAAGAGAGTGAAGTAGCATTGCTGGCATGTGCACCATCTCAAAGTTTGTCAGATCAAACGCACCAGCTGCTATCTCTGACAACGTCTGTTAATTAAAAAAGTAGTTCACCATAATATGAAAATTCTGATATTATTTATTCATTCTCATGTTGTTGTACTCATGCAAAAAAAAAA